TTTCGAGTGGGCGCTTATTCGAAATTTACCATTTGGCATAATTTAGCATAATTTCCCATTAGCCTCGGCATAATTTGATGTTGCATCACTGGTCACACTGCTATGGTTTTTTACCCCATAGTAACCCAACCCTTTATAGAGAAACCGGATTTAATTGGTTGAATCAATAGTATTCTATTAAAAATTCTGTCAGAAGGTCGTGAATAGAAGATCTTTCCAATGACAGGGCCTACCAAACACTTGGGGTCAAAGTCAGAGAAAAGAAAGGTCGGACGCGGCGGCTTGAAAATGCTCGTTTTGGAAGGATTTTGTGGTAGAAAGAAGCCGATAGATTACCAAGTAAAGGTCGATCAAAAACCACGAAATTTTCTTGCTTACGATGATTTTTTCGCAATGAAAATTTGGTATGTTGAAAATCAATACTTTTAAAAGCTGTTTTGATTGAAAACAGAATTCCACTAGACGAATTTATTCGCGCGAATCGAAAGCATCTGTTTATACGCATTTGCATTCACATTTCTATCGGGTTTTCCCACTAGGCGCATTTATTCGCGAAAATCAAAGCGTCGGTTCGCTTTCTGAGTTCTGATTGGTTGCGCTTTTTTTTCTTTAGCAAAAACTCCCATAGAAATGTGAATGCTCATGTGCATGAGCCGACACTTTCCATTCGCGCGAATAAATTCACCTGGTGGAAAACAGGCTTCATATTATTATATTATTCACCAACAGAGCCAAGAAAATTTATTGTTTTGTATACAGACATTTTACCAATAAAAATGTCCTTACCGTGCTATGAAGGTTTTATGCACAAGAATATACAGCAACTGTTCGTTAAGTGACAGGGAGACTTAATTGTATGATAATAAAAAAAAAAAAAAGTACACAAATAAGCACAAAAAATAAATACACAAATACACAATTGAAAAAATACACAAATAAAAAATAAATAAAGAAAAAAACAAATTATGCATTTCAATTATAAACCTGAACTGACAAGGTACATTTTAATATTGAAAAAAAAAAAAAATACATACCGGTACTGATGATTTCACACTTGGGTCCAGCAGTACCACGAGGACATGAACAGTAGTACCTCTCATCACCATCAAAAAGTCGATGTTGGCCCGAATAACAACTCCCATTATTCTGACACGGGTTAGGAACACAACGATCGTTAATAGACCAATCTGTTTAAATATGAAGATATAATTGATTTGATAATTTATAGATGAAAAGACAATAGAATGTTACTTATTTAGATGTTTCTGGACATCATTAAGGAAGAGAAATGTATTTATTTTAAACATTGTGGTTTCGATCTGTCGACTGCCACAGTTAAAAAAAAAATAAAAAATAAAAAAAAAATAGCATAGGTATTTCAATTGACAAAATGTTATTTTGTCAATTGAAACCCCTTATTTCTTATAATTGACCTGTAGGCCTATAGTCTGATTTTTCATTCATTTTTATTTTTTCAAAAAAGGGTTTCAAAATGCCCGACACAATGAAATGCATATGCTATGTTTTACATTCTTGGCATGTTTTGTGCCAAGAATACCATAAGTGCCATATGTACTCTGTATATAAGTCGACCATCATTATTCTTATTTAAGATTTTGTTTTGTTATATCTTTCAGCAAGTGTAAAACTCCGAAAAAAATTAGTACAAGTCAACGTGATTCAATATTTCAAGGTTGATTTGTTCAACTGCAGAATTCATACTATCTGATCTTTTAGCAAGAATTTTAATTAAGCTTGCTACCATCGGACATGAAAAAAACATCATTGTGGACAGCTACTTCAATATACAAAAAACGCTGGTTTATGCACGCTAACACACAAACGATATTGGAAGTAACGCAAGCTCACGTTATATTTCTGAGAATTACATTAATAATTTAAATGCCGAGATTATCGCGTCACCGTTACGATCAAAACCAACAGACAGCAGAAATATAAAACTAGGAGAGGCCTAGGACATAGATATTATACCTCCATTGATAGGCCTAGGCTTTGGCTTACTCAGAAAAATTACGGAGTAAAATTAAAAATCGAAAACAGGCAATTTTTATGAATTTTTGTTAGGCCTAATTATATCTTTTTTACAGTTTGTCTTTAAAACTATCATTTCTTATATCGTTTTAGTATTAAGATTATAAATTAAAACTGTCTAGGACGACAGACAGATATCGGTCTACAGTCTTCAGTGTTAGCGAAATACAAAAAAAAATATTGAACTTCATATTAGTACCTTTATCTGATATAAATGTGAGCAGTTGTCCTAGGCCTATATGTTATCTATTTTAATATTGAATTATCTGGAACTTTGGTGGAACAGTATCCATTGTATGTGTTGAGAAACGTTTCAAAAAAAGCAAAAACAATTTTCTCCAGCTAGCAGTTACATGCACTGCTCTCACCCCTTTCTACCGATGAAACACATGTTTTGATGCGGCACAAACCTAGACTCTATTCTATTTCAATGTTGATTAATCTCGAAGTTTAGTGTAAAAGAATACCTGTATATTTATTATATATGATTATCAGGCTCTTTAAAAAAGGTATTTTATTGTATACTGTAAAATATTGTTTTCTCCGTGTTTTCTCTAGATTGCTGTTCAATGTATTGCTTTCACCCCTTTTCAAACAGCGAAGCACATGTTTTGTTGTGTCGTTGATTAACCATGGACTCTACCATTTCATATGGGTTAATGTCTCTTAACATATTATAATATTTCATTCTTTAAATTGCTTTTTCTATCCACTGATTTATTGTCTATAATTTGTTCCGATATAATAGTTGGGAATAACCTTGCATTTAAAATATATTATGGTAGGCCTATATCAAAAATAAGTGTACAATAGGCCTATTATTTGTAGTCCTATTCATAATAAAGTACAGTGACCGCCAATAAATACTCAACATATACGATGAATATCAGAATTTAGTGCAGTAGGCTAAGCTAGGGTGGCATTATTTTTTCCCCATAAAATATTTTCATTCATTCTCTGTAGGTCATTTTGAAAACAGACACTAAATAAAAGTATTGTGTTTAGATCAGATTATCATACAAGCATATACAAGCAACTGTTGTACACACACAGTAGATCTTGATCACATTAGGCCTATGTTCATGTAAAAAACTGTTTACGCTTAATTTATGTTCTACTGAATGAGCTGTTCTTGTTTGATTTTTAATTTCTGTTTGTCACTTCCTTGTTGTCTTTATTGTAATTAATTTATTTGTATCGTACCAAATCCATTTTCAAATATATATAACAAATATAAAATATAATTGAAAATGAGACTAAAATAATAAATACAAGATTTAATTGCACACAAAAATTCAGAGACTGATATTTTCTTAGTTTATCCTATGCTTTTCCATGGTAACGTCGAGTCGTTATCACTGGGTGCCCGTACAAAGGGTATGGCTATGCATAACTCGGCCCGCAGCAAGATCAATGACCCTTAATAGTCAATTTCCATAGCAGCAGAACTGTGGGACTGTTCCTATAAATAGTTCTTGAAGAAGCAGGTACTGGCATTAAATTGCATTTATCCTGTCACTACGAATTTATTCCTCCATGCTCATGGCAACAACATGAGTTTGGCCTGGTTATAATACTGGGCGGCATACAAAGGGTTTGAGCTATGCATAACTCGGCCGGCAGCAAGATCAATCGGACACGTACACTTTGATCCAGTCTGTATTTCCATAGCAGCAGAGCGTGGGAATGTTCCTATGAATAGTTCTAGAAAAAGCAATATACTGGCATTAATAAATTGCGTTTATCCCGTCAATATTCATAGCAAAAACATGAGTTTGGCCTCATTATAATACAGTATAAAAGTGTATAGGAAATTTCAGTGGGTTTTGAGTCTTGGTATTCGACATTTCGGTTTTAAATTTTACAGAATAGCTCAATAACAAATGACAGGATATGGTATTAAAATTAATTCATAATAATGAATGAAACTTATGACAAAACATAGAAAAGGGACTTGTCGATAAATTACAGTACATCAAAATCACGAGATAAACCGACGCAAACAAGTTGGAATCGTCCAACATTTTTGATCAGTATCTTGAACCACTCGTCGGCAACGCGAAGAGATTATAATCCCCAACCACGCGTTGTAGACGGGTATACGCGTTACTTTATTTTTGAGGCTCCCTAAATCAACAAACTCTAGAATAAGCTTGAATTTGAACTAAAGTATTAGGCCATGGGGTGAAAATCTTAACGTTCAGTCCCGTTCCGAAATTTTCCTAATACTTTCACTCATTATGATAATTATTATAATAATATTTAAAAGCACCAAAAAAAAGTTCGACCGTCAGAACTTCTGCAAATACGAGAAAATGACGTTTAAACTTACGAAATCGAAAGTTCTTTGCGCTAGATTAGCACACAACATTTTGTATACGTCACTGTACTCGTTCGAATATTGTATTTTTGATACGTAGTTTATTATTTGCGAACTTCATATTACTGCTTTAGAAACAAATTTAAAAATTATAATTAGATATAGTTTGAATTTTAATTACAGAATAATATTTTTTAGACTACTATTAAATTGATTTTGTTACAATAACTTCACGTGTTGTGGTACAGCCAACAACAGTAAACAACAACATGGCGACTAGCGGTGGACAGTTTGTCGGTGTTGTAATAAAGTGTTGTTTTCACCGCGAAGAAATTGCTAATGAAACTCCAATTCTAGTTACAGCAACCAGATTCTTGAAGATTGTTACTTGTAACAAATTATGGATAGTTTTAGACAGTCATAACCGAACTGTAGCTGACAAACTTGTGTCTTAACTAGCCTAGGATGTGCCTCTTGTGTCTTGGTTGGAATGGATAAGGGAAAGACATACGATTACGAGGATGTGATAAGACTTTCACCCTGTTTGCTATCGTCGTTACATCGACACGAAATCGATAGCAATGATAAGTTATCATTACCGAGTGTAGTGTAGTCCCGTCAGTACCTTACCCAGACACATTGTACAATGTATTAAAAATATTCTTTAAAAAAATGGTGCTGACTGTGCAGGCCCTACCCCACTTTTCCTTAGCTTCGTGAGTGGATTTTCCGTACGATTGAAAATCGTAACGGTACTGGGTTTGGTCTACAGGAGTTCGTGCTTCGAACAGGTTATTGCATTCATAGAAAAAGCCTTTTGATGGAGAAAGTGTACCTTTTTAGCAAAAGTTTGCCTATGTCTCTTATACACATCTAGATGTGTATAAGAGACAGGTATGGAGAATGTTGCTATTTTACTTACAAGGCCTAGCTTCTTGATTATGAATGATTGGCATATGTTGTACAAAAATTTCTCTCAATGCAATAATTCTTCAACTTTGATTTATTGTTTAGATTACAATTTACAAATAGGCCTAGGCTATTTGTTGGTTTGAATATGACCAGCATATTTTATTTCATAAATTAAAGTTTACGAAGTCATAGGCCTAGAGGCCTAGATACAATTAGAAAACTTTCATGTAATATTAATAATTTTATCATTCATTTACAGGCGAAATTAACATATTATAGCCGACGATTCACAAACCTACTCTGCTGTCTCTTATACACATCTAGATGTGTAAATTTCATAAGCATAGGGCCTAGGCTTAGCTATGTATACAGTAATTTAATTTTACAGTAGTTTAGAACGATATCAGGAGTGGGGGTGGTAGCAGTGGCCTACTAGGACTACAATTTATTTGAAGCTATCTTGGGTCCGATCGTCCATACCAGTTGGGCCCAATCGTCTGCCACCCGAAGTTTTCATTACGATCGTCGATGATCAAGAACGTAACCATCTAGGCCCTAGGCTAGGCTTAGATTGCTCTGCTACGTATACTACCACCGCATAAGAAAGAAAGCAACCCACGCGGTGCATTCTTAAATTGTACACACATTATTAAAATGTATTAGACGATAACACGATATCACTGACTGAACGATCTACCACCCTCGCATCGTAGTAACTACACTGTACTGACGAACTAGCGGCCTAGCTTAGGCCAATGTTTTTGTGGAAAGTTAGATAGTCGTTATGTACCCGACAGTCGACTGCCTTTCTATCTTCACTTGTCTTCAATCTGTATTCAAAGGGTACATTGCTGCATAGCCAACTGTCGGGGATATGGTACCTTCATACGACGGGTATACGACTACTCCATAAAGATAATAATAAAAATACTAGAGCGCTAACCGCAATGTATTCCATGTTCGAAATACGCAGAACTGTGTGGGTACCATCCAAGATGGCTGCCATAGATTTAGCCAATCAAATTTCGCTAAGCATCATCGTTTGCAATTGCGCCCTCAATTTACTCAGAGGGTTCAATACAGCTAGCTACCCGTATGTTTGAAACTCGAGCGTTGCGGTGTTTGGGTGTAATGTACACGATTTTAATTTTCATTCCTTGGTGCTTTATTTTTGAACAAGATGCTCCACTTGGCCTCGTTTTGGCTACAATAGTTTAATAATTTGTTATTACCATTACTCATTATCATTAATGAAATAATAGTCAGTCAGAGGGCTTATTAATATGTAATAATATGTATACTAAGCCTGAAGGTGGCGCTTTACTACGACGGCCATCTTGGATGGTACACATACATAACTCTGCATTGCTGCGCCATCTTGTCAACACTCACATATTACTTATATTACATATTACTTATATTACATATTAGACATATTACTTAACTATTGTAGGCCTAAATTTTTTATAATGAAAAAATCGGAACGGAATTCGTTTTCTAGACGTCTTTTGAGCTTCACCCCATGGCCTATATGTGTAGCAGACTTAAACCAGTTTTTAATTAAAGAAATTATGGTTTGTATCTTAAACTCAGTGTATTTTGTAAGTCTACAGGAGTTGAATATTAAAAGCCATTTATATTTTACAAAAGGAGCTGACACCAACTGAAGACCAGTTAGAACTTCGACCAATTGAAGACCATTTGGAACTTGGATCAATTAAGACCAGTTGGAATTGGGACCAGTTGGAATGGAACTGACACCAGTTGAAGACCAGTTGAATTGTTCAAAACACAACACCCAACTGGTTCCAGTTCCAACTGGTCCAGCTGGAGTTGGGACCAGTTGGAACTGGGACCACAGTTGAATCGTCCAAAAACACAACCCGTAACTGGTTCCAGTTCCAACTGGTCTAACTGAATTTTTACCTGGAAGCCATCAGGGCCATAATGAAAGCACCATGATCACAATGAAGGCGCCGTTATCTTTAAAAAGCGCCGTAATGCCATTCATTTTCAACCAATCGCAGGTTCAGGATGACGCTAACAGGGTCATAATGAAAGCGCCATTAACTTTTTACAAAAAAGCACCGTGATCCAGAGCCGTAGATAGAGAGAGTTTGGCCAACTCGGTTTCAATCACGTGATTTACACCGGCCATGTTGTCACCAAAACAAAACAACGCCATAGGGTAGGAAGTTAGCAGTAGTATTATAGATGATTAATGCTATAATTATAAGGTGAAATACCGTTATGTTGGGTTTGGGGTTGATGCAATCGATCCAACAAAGAATCAAAAATGTATTAATTTCCTTAAATTCCGAAAAGAAGGAGGATTTGGGATTTTATTTTAACTTTGCAATGCGATCGAAAAATCTCGCTATCCACGTACGTAGTAAATTATAAGGCATGTACCGCCGTCCGCCCCACTTCGAGGTAATATATATACACCTACTACTACTAGGCCTAGACAGGCCTAAATTTTGGTACTTCTTCGGCCGAACACCTTAAGGTAGTACTTAAATCGGCTTAATTACGATGATAAAAAAAAAGGGAAGGATTTTCAAGCAGCAATGATTTATAAAAAGATGCAATGTTGCACTTTGCTGTTAAATTATATAACTAAATTTCCAGAAAGCTACATGAAGAATCAGTCAAAGGTAGCTTAAATTATAATTAAAAATAAAAATTGAATCCTCCAATAAAAGCGAAAATTTGTCCAAGGAGTCCTGTGCTATGCAAACCTGCCCAATTGTGCTTTACAAATCAATTAATTGTGCAACTATTAAAGATTTTAAAGATAAAAATATATTTTAAAGATATAGGCCTAATTGTATTATATATTGATTGTTTTAATACATATTTTAAATCAAAATGTTTAAATGTTTTACAAATTACAAATCAAAATTTCAATGAATAGTAATAAATAATAAATAATAATAATAATAATAATAAATAATAATACAGTAATAATGATAATATTATAACTCACTAATATTATAAACAAAGTGTGGAGAATGCTGCTATTTTACTTACAAGGCCTAGCTTCTTGATTATGAATGATTAGGCATATGTTGTACAAAAATTTCTCTCAATGCAATAATTCTTCAACTTTGATTTATTGTTTAGATTACAATTTACAAATAGGCCTAGGCTATTTGTATTGGTTTGAAGATGCCCAGCATATTATTTCATAAATTAAAGTTTACGAAGTCATAGGCCTAAAGGCCTAGATACAATTATAAAACTTTCATGTTATTAATATTTTTATCATTCATTTACAGGCGAAATTAACATATTATCGCCGACGATTCACAAACCTACTCTGTCTGCACAACCAACCTTTCTCCTCTGCAGTGTTGACTCTTAGGAGCCTCATGCTATAAAGGAGGCTGCTACTAGCATTGCAACTAGGTATAGGCCTAGGCCTACTGTAGATGATAGATTTTCAAAACAAAAAGATAATCTTAACGAAAAAAAAATAAAGAATCGTCCTCACTTTATCTTCTTGAAATAATACAGCACGTCACTGATTAATTAATTCCATAGTTAGGTAAATATGATTATGTATGATATTTACAATGACATGTTAAAATCCCATAATTGAATTGTCCTCATGAACAGAGTAATGAAAGAAAGTTTATGCAGCATCAGTGTTTTATAAAATTTTATAAAGCTATACGCGCGCACGCTGTTTGGTGACAACATGGCGCCCATGCGCCAAGTTGGCCAAACTCTCTCTATCTACGGCTCTGCCGTGATCATAAAAGCGCCTTAATCATAATGAAAGAGCTGTAATCATAATAAAAATGCCGTAATCATAATTAAAGTGCCGTCATACTATTCACCTTTTAACCAATCACAGGCTTAGAATTACGGCAACAAGGTCATAATGATTACGGCGTTAACTTGTTCGATAAAAGCTTTAATGTGATGAGTAACTAAATCCTAAATTATTATTATTTTAAAAACATTAAAATCATTAAAACATTATTATTATTATTATTATTATTATTTAAAAACAATAAAATCATCAAAACATTATTATTATTATTATTCTTATTATTATTATTATTATTATCATTTAAAAAAATTAAAATCCTTAAAACATTATTTTCATCACGATTGAGAGGAAAAAAAAATGTGGCTCCTTGTTTTTCTGATCTTGGTCTTCGTTTTGTAGACACCCATTTATAGGGTGTCTATAATGAAGACCCTTGTATTTCTTGATATTCCTCATTATTCTGATAAAATTAATGAAATAGGTACAGTACTTGGCAACTGTTTTATGATGATTTTGAAATAATTTCTATAAGATAATTGATAAATTGGAGGTCTTCGTTTTTCGGGTCTTCGGTCTTCATTTTTCGGGTCTTCGGTCTTCGTTTTGTAGACACCCATATAGGGTGTCTATAAAACGAAGACCTTTGAAAATTTCACAAACAGATGGCCAAACAAATTTTGATTTTGTGACAGCTTGGCGTATTATCATCAAAATAAAAGAGAAAAAATAGGGGTCTTGTTTTTGGGTCTTCGGTCTTCGTTTTATAGACACCCCTTGGCTAGGCCTATAAAAAAGATGAATAAAAACCGTCCGAGACTGGGGGGGGGGGAGGCTAAGTATTTATGGGTGTAACTATAGCACGCAGCGTTATCTGAGGGCCGAGGGCCAGAGGCAGGTCGAGAAGGCAAAAAGACGAGATTTGTTAACGGCAAGCTCTATATTAATAATATGCTGTATAATGAAAATATCAGTGAGCCTACTACCAGTACACATACACCTATCCTATTGACCAGAATGAGTCAACCAAATCGGATTATTCTAGAAAAAACCTTGCAAGATATTCATCCGAACCCTATTATTAACTTACAGGATGGTTAACGTTATCTACGAGTTGGGTGTTTGAATGTGACAGGGTGGTCGTCACATTGTATATTGTATTAATTTATCAAATAATGATATTGTTGGTCTTGTTGAGACCCTTTTGCAAGGGAAAACAACAAATCTAATTTACAAAGAAATGTTCGAAGTGGTTTGGGTGGTGTTCCTATTCTTGCCTATACATCGTTCCAGATTTATTTGTAATTACCTGTATTTTATCTAGAGAAAGGGCTATTTGATTGAAATTTATAAATATTACAAATAATGAAAATTTTATTTTGCTGCTACTATCTATCTCCTCCAGAAAATTAATCAAGGGGTGGTAATTCGGAATAATTATTTAACCTCCTTCTTTCGGATATTTATAGGTTTCAAAATTTGCGGAGATTTCATAGAGGGAGTGAATGAGATTTAGCTACATGATGTTGTTGATTATTTGGTAAATTCAAATGGCAAATCCTTCATTGATGTTTTACGTGTTGTATCAATGGCAGATCCACCGTCCGCAATAACTTTACAAAAGGGTGATTCTGTTACGATACGATACGATTTATTGGGTTCACTTTCAGATCAGTGCACCCATTTACAATATAAAATATAAACAAAGGAAAGCGAAAGACAGTTCAAAAACAACAAATGGATAAATAGTACAACAAAAACAAAACCAAAAAAGTTTTACCCTTTATTTGTATATCTAACAAATTGTTTAACTATAATTAAGAAATTAAACTGAATGAAACACACTGAGCTGCACAAAAACCTGTACTTCGTAGTCGTGTGAAATTACCGGAACGTGGATTATTTATTTATATTATTTATTTATTAATTTCCTTTTTCTACGGACCAGGGCAGAATCAAATTCAAATTCAATATACTATTACAGGTGCTTGTACAGCTCATTGCGCTTCATCCAAGCAATATAAAGGTATTTTTTACAATATTTGTCGAAGATAAAACTTGCATCATTGTAATCAGAATCAACCAAATTGTATTTAAGGGGAAATTTCTTATGGATAGACAGGTCATCAAGAAAAAGATGGTGTCCAAAATTTGATAAACTTGAAGTAAAAACATAGCCCAAAATATATCAAGGTTGTTTAAGTTCATTTTTAAGTTCTTCCTGGAAAGTTGTATCCCTAATATTGTTAAATTAATACAGCACTCAAAAACAAAGTTATTTACTATTTCTTTACAACCACTTTTACATAATTTGCAAAGACCTGTGTTTTAAGTTTCCCAGGCTTCTTTGCGACCTTCTAAATCAAACGAGTTTGATCGGGCTTTAAATCAAAGAGTTACTTCTGAAAAGTTAAATTTGTCAGGGAGGTATGACTCAAAATTTGGTTCAGATTTATATCTGATGTAGTCATTAAGTGACGACTTCCTTTGAGCATAATCAAACCAGTTCTATTTATCATGTATATTATTCGTTTCTTTAAAACCTATAGTCAGTGTATATGATAAGTTAAGATTGAAACTAATAAATTACAATTACTGAGACTTCTTGTAATATATAACCATTGCCATTATGAAATATCATAAACTTAAATACAGCCTGAAGGTAGCCATGGCCACCTACAGTACCGGACAGTTTTATTGCAAAAATTCAACGCATTCAACCCGTTGCGTTTTCGTTGACAACGCGTTGGCGTTTTCGTTGGCGTTGTCGTTGAAACTGTTGACATCGTTGAGAGCTCAGA